TGAAGGGTTAATGCTTAATGAATTAATACTTAATGAAGGCTTGTCATGATAGGCTAGAAATGATAATTATATCTTACTCAAATGCCCATATTTTCCTCCACAAAACTTTGCTTCTTGAATTTAAGCTCCTGGAAATCCTTAATTTATTTGGAGTCTTATGGCTTATTCTGCTATCAATGAACAACAACTATCCATCCACTAAGTGCAGTTTCTCACCAAGTTCTTTCAACCTTTTTTTCACAGTGCGCTCTGAATTCAGCCATCTAATTTCATTCTCAAATCCAAGCTCTCATCAGTTTTTCTCTGTACTATACAAAAAGTCTCTTCCACTCTCTTACCTGTCTACATTTTGCACTATTCCACAAAGTTTGTACTGTTTTCCTTATATTACTCTATTACTTAAGGACTTTGGAAACTCTGTTGCTTCTAACCAACTATAAACACTTTTCCCCGGGCTGGGGATTTAGCTCAGTGGTTTGGTGGCCTACCTTGCAAGTGCAAGGACCCGAGTTCAAGCCCTGGTACCAAAAAAAACAAAACACTTTTCCTGGACTTCTAAAATGAGCTCAGTAACCGTAGTCTCCTGCTATCTGCACAGATGGTCAATACAAGCACATTGTGTGGCTCTAAGCCATGACATCATTGCACCGTTCAGACATCTGTTCCAATTGCTACCGTTTTAATATTTTCTGAATATAATATGCTCTTCCTGACTCTGAGATTTTCCCAATGCCTTCTGTTTAGGAAGAAAAATAGTTTAAAAAATAGGTACATATTTGTTTTTTAAAAAGCTGGTACCTAGAAATGATGCTTTTCTATATCCTACCTGCCTTTAATCCCAGTTTGATCATCACCTCTTTCAAGAAACTGTGAACAACTGCTCTGGGTGACACAGACTTTTCTCCAAATCTCTTTGCCTTGTAAAGCCTGTAGGAGGGATTATTCCTTGCCCCTCTTTTGTACACCCCACCACCTTTGGCGGAGTGCTGGAAACATAAGAACTAAATAAGGGCCAGCTAATGATTGGGGGAGAAGCAAGAGACTCGCAGTCCACTAACTGGATAACAAGTCCTTAAATAGCTGCAGATCAGTTACACTACCGAATCTAAATGGACACCAAGTAGGAGTGTGAGATGCAGGTGGAACACACAAGCACTTAGCCTCAACTTATTTGCCTTAACACGCTACAGTCGGTTCTCTTACTCACAGTGAAAAGGTGAGTGCTTAATTTGTGTCAAGTAATTTGCTAAATGGTTCCTCTAGTATGTATTTCATGCTTAGTGCAATCCTATTTCACATTATTTTGTGGAAACTGAGTTCCAGCAACACAGAATGATTTGAACGAAGATCATATTACCTGATAATGAAGATGAGTCTAGAAACCATGCTTCTCTGATTCCAAAGACCTCTCTTTAACTTCTCCAATAAATCATCTCAAGCAAGCAAGCAAACAAGCAAGCAAGAAAGAAAGAACGAGAAAAAGAAAGAGAAACGAGGAATGCATGGAGGGAATGAGCACTAACTTAGCTCGTAAGAAACGAGCATATTAACATTCACAAGCAAAACTCTCCTTTTTTGCTCTTCGACCCTGCGTATTCATTAACAATAAATTCAGTAATATAGAATTACTCCCCTAAAAGTCTACCTTACTTTCCTCATTTATTACGAGAGCCTGGGATGTTTCACTGCTAAATGTGTGGTCTGCAGGCCACATCCACTGGAATTCAAAAGGCATGCACAGCTTGTGTGATTGTGTTCTCTGTGACTCTCCACACCCTCTTCATTCAAGAATTCAGAGGGAGTGTCCCCCAAATATCTGCAGAGCATCTGTTCGAGCATTCACAACTTCATGTGCAATGAAAAGCCAAGAGTTCTGTGTCCTGACGAGTCCTTGAAAACCTTACATCTATGTCATGCTTATCCACAGGCTTGTACACATATTGCTTCATAAAGAAGCAGTTATCGTCCTCAAGTGCACAGATCAAAATATGCATGTGTTTTTGATGAGTGCTCTCCGAGGATCATTTTAATCAGGCCAGAGACACTGAGACCCACCCCCGACCTTGAATTCTTTAGGTAGGTGCCATTTCAAGAGATATGGAGAGGCACTGATCATAAGATAAAAATACTTCACTTTGGTGGGCTCTTCATCTTCACAAGCATCTTCAGGTGAGGTTAGGAGGTTGGGCTTAGTTAAAATAAATGATAATCACCTTTTAAAGCTACCTATTAAGAAAGGTGAATTTCAAAAGTAGACATTCTTGAGGCATTTGAAAGGGAAAAGAAAAAGATTGCAACAAATTAGTCAAAATTCATCGATGAAAAACACACAAAATCTTCCAATCAGGAATCAAGAGAGTTTGTGGATGGTGGAAAATGAATTGCAAGTTGTTCGTCTTGTACCTGGAGAAAGAGTTTATTCACGCAGCCCCAAACCTAGCTTCACCTCTTGATGGCTCTTTTCTGGTACAGTGCATTTATGTGTCTGGTCCAAAATTATGAAGTGGTAATATTGCTTGACATGAGCAAACTTTATACACTCAAATCTGTCTATAAGGCTGTTTATTATAACAGGACTTGTTCTGTTCACATAGGACATGAGCCGAAGAAAGGAAATTACTCAATTTCTCACCTCCTTTCTGGAGTGCAGCGTGGTGTGTGTGTGTGTGTATGTGTGTGTGTGTGTGTGTGTGTGTGTGTGTCTGTGTGCGTGTGTGTGATGAAAGCTAGCTACTTGAGCACTGACAATTTCTTTTTTTTTCTTTTAAATTGAATTTATTGGTACATTCTAGGTAGACAGTACAGTTACATTCATTACTGGGATCTTGTACCTTTACATGACAGATCTTGGTTCTCATTTGTTCCCCTTCTCCCCACCCTCCCTTCATCCCCTCATCCCCTCCCCACCTAAAAACACTTTAATTCCATTTTTACATTTTCTCATATTTTTTCCCTTTCCCTTGTTCCCCTTCCTCTATCATTCTCACTGTCCCTACACCTTTGGTCCTTTTCTTCCTATTTCACATTGCCAATTGTCCCGTTAGGATCTTGAGTACTATTTGTTTTTCACACAAGAGAAACTATTTGGTATTTGCATATGTGTGACTTATTTATTTCATTAGGAGTATATCCTCAAAATGTATCCATTTACCTATGAATGAATCTACTTTCTCGTTCTTTATGGCTGAGTAGTATTCCATTTTATAGAAAAACCACATCTTCTTTATCCAGTTTCCAACTGATGGGCAGATGGGCTGTTTCCATGTTTTAGCTCTTACAAACTGTGCCGCTATAAACATAGGTGCACATATATCACTGTGATATGCTTCTTTTAATTATTTTGGAAAGACACCCAGCAGAGGGATGGCTGGGTCAAATGAAACCTCCAGTCCCAGCTCTTTGAGGTATCTCCATATTGATTTCCACAGTAGCTGCATCAGCCTGCACTCCCACCAACTATGGAGAAGGGTTCCTTTCTCCCCACAGCCCTGCTAACATTTGTTGTTGGTTGATTTCTTGATAGCAGCCATTCTTTGTGGGGTGAGGTGGAATCTGAGTGTTGTTTTCATGTGCATCTCTCGAGCACTGACAACTTCTTAAAAGCAGGGATTTGTGAAATGCATTGAAAACTTGAAGAGCTTTTCTTTTTCCTTTTAGAGAAGTGACATGAGACAGTGGAGGGACTTGAGCCTTCCGAGTCTGAGTTTGGACCATTAACTCCACTACTTATTGACAGTGTGGTTGCTGAGCCTCAATCTTTGCCTCTATCAATAGGGAAATCTAATGCCTATGCTGCACGGTTATTCTAAGGATAACAAATAACTTAGGTAAATTCCTAATACAAAAGAGAGAGCAATTAATGGCCGCTGTCATTTCTAAGTTAGACTGGTTTGATTTGCCTGTTGGATGATTTCTTTTCATTTATCATCTTCCTCAATGACCCCCAAATGGGGACACAGTGCCACAGCAGGTCATGGGAAAGTACAGGGTAAATAGGCCATGGAAGGTGAAGAGTTTATCCCTACCTACTCTGGACCACACCCTTCCTTGGGGGCTACACCGTCCAGAAATCCCCAGGGTATGTGTGTCACTGACAATCTCATGGTATAATAACTTCAGGCTAACTGTGTCACATCAGAATTTACCCAGAGACCAGCTCCTTACTTTGTATTATTTTGGACTGATCTTGTTCATTTTCAATCACTAATTTTTAAAGCATCACACCAACATGGGCACTATGGGGGGGGGCAGGTATGAAAACTACTCTGCAAAAGACCGGAGATGGTTTGAATGGTAATATTATTTGAGCATGTGATTTTAACAGATGACATTCAACTAAGAGCAATGGCGGACCACAAAGTAAGAGATCCAAGGCTTCCTTTCCTGACCGCTGTGACTTCCCACCACATGAGGTTCCTTGTTCAAAGGTGGTGCAACCTGATATGTGTGTTAAGAGGTCACTGGGGGGAGCCATGACGGAGAGCTCTAAGAATGGCAGCCTCACCTCAGACCCTACTATTTCAAGAGGCCCCACCTCACTTGTCCCATTCATCACTCTTGCTGAAGGATGTTTATTTAGCCGGAAGTGTGGAAGCACCAGCGGGGAACCAGCAGCCTGAGGCTGGAGCTGGGACAGAGATATTTTTGTGTTACCTAACCACCTGCCAGCTCTCAATAAACATTTCCCCATCCAGTTCTTACAATGACACTCTTTCTATCCTTAGATATTGTTAGGGCTCTATGAATCTCATTCTAAAAGAAAGCTAAAATGGAGAAAGAGATAAAAAGAAGAAATGAACTAAAACAACCAAGTCAAGATGAAGGAAGACATCAGAGAGGCATTTCTGGAATCCACAATCTAAAAATGCATGATGAACTATCATATACTTTATTATCCCATCATGCAATATGCAATTGTAAACATCCCCTGTGGAATTAGAGAAGATGGTGGAAAGATAGGATTGGAGGGGTGCAGCCCTTTCCCCTGTAGCAGAGTATACCTGAGGCGTCATTGAGGCTAAAGGCGATGCGTACTGGCTTATCCGCAGCTACCCTTGCTGTGCTGATCATGTGGGCACCTGAGGCCCGGTCTTCTCCTGGGTCTTCCAGCTAAAAGGACAAGAAAGAGCCACTGTCACCTCACCCAACACCATGTCTCTTACTACTCAGAAGCCTTCAGAAACTCAAAGGGAAAGTCAGCAAACTTCCTACATCAAAATTATTCACTTTCCCCATTTGAAATTGCTTTTTCTGGCTTAGTGAAAATTTACTTTGGCACTACACATCTAGAATGAATGAAATGTGGCAAAGATTTCTGCCTACCTCACTTTGTCAGTTTCCCTACACACTGACCAGTCAATTGTAGCTTTTAAGGTTACATATAACACTGTTTTATTTTTAAAGGAAAAGCAATGAAGAGATAAAGTGTTCAGAGCATATCAGAGAGCTTCAGATTACTCTATCATTTCATGCTCAAAAGCTTAAATTAAATCCAAATTATTGATCTTGGAGTAACAAAAAAATTAATTTCATGGGACCATTTAAAGGATACCAAAGACCATTTTAAAATATCCTACAGTGGTATTATGAATATTACTAGCTTTAAATATCTGATCACCTATAAATCTAGCAAATATTTCTACCTATGGTTCAACTTCTTCACAGCAAAGGATAAAAGCAAAAGGTAAAACTCTAAAACACCCTACTGGTGTTCTACCCTGTCTATTAAATTATCATTTAATTAATAAACTTAGAATGAATGGGAAACCATCCTACACAGAAGACGAGAAAAGAAAAAAATGCATGGATATTGTTGTGTCATAAAAAAATTCAGCCCAGATACTGTACACTTTTACCAAAATATTTGGTAATCTACTGTTCACCAGCACCATGAAAAGACACTATTATAAATACATGATATCTTTGTTATTTAAACACATATATTTAACTTTTCTATTTTGGGTCTTGCTTCCCCTACACCATCTATTCTCCTCATGTACACAGCAAACCAAAAGACCTGAATGGTATTTTAAAGAAAATGTCTCTAAAAATGGCAAAATATAAATAATCTCTTTAGCCATCTTTAGCAAGATTCTGGGAACTGCTTTTAACAGCAAGGCTTTTGACTTTTTCCCATAACTTTTGTGTATCCAAAAATAGGGCCCAGAACACTGAATTTTGTTTGTACAATACTTACAGAGCCAAAGTCAACGTGTATATATGACATATATTTAGACCTACATACATTTGGAATCATCATACCCACTATACGGAAAGAACACACTTATATTAAACACCTAGGATAATTTTGGAGAAAAACCAGCAAAGGTTTAATCACTCAATAAGGATCATATTGAGCCCATTCATGTAAGACCTCAAATAGCAATGAATAAGTAAGCTTTCCATCCTCCATGTCATTCCAAGTTACAAAGAAATGATAACCTGCAACATTTGAGGAACGAGTAATTAAAAATCACTGTTACTTGACTCCGGATTTGTTTTATTGTAACTATCACAAGCTTCTGTGTAGTTTCTTCAGCTTAGAATGAAGCATTTTGTTCACCTGTTTCTGGAGAGATAGCACAGACCGTCTTGAATTTAACAAAACAAAGGAGCAGAACCCTCTAAAACTACAGCTGAAAAGAAAAGTCTTCCTGTTAGGCATTAAACAAGCTCCAAACCACCTTATCATAACATCTAAAGATGTAAAGCTCATTGCACTCTTGGGAAAAATCTCCCAACATTTTCCTGCATCAAGAAATAAAGCACCAGAGGTGGAACTTTGCCTCTGAATTTTGTAAATACCTCTCTGGTGCAGTTTTCAGCTACAGAAAATGGAATTGGTGAGCACAACTAATTACATCCCGCCCCTCAGCACACCAGAAATTGCCTTACTGCTTCAGAAAGGACTGCGTCAAGATTTTATATTCCACACAAATTCGACCACGAGAGTCCTTTAAACCAACTTGCCTTTTCATCACACCGCCTGGGAAAATGAGCTTCTGCTTCCTGCTCTTGGCTGGAGCCGGTAAGAAAGCTTTGGTTAAGTCGCCCTGCTGCAAGCATTTAGTTAAGTTTTCACACCTGTTGTCTTACCTCACTTAGTTGAGTGTCTGCTCTTGTGTAATCCAGGGCCAGCCGTTGCCTTGGCCAGCCGTTGCCTTTGTGGAGTAAAGACTCAGTGAGCAAGCAGGCTGCACCTGCTGCATCACAGCCACTGACACTGTGAGGAGCAGGGACAGCTGTCCAGCAGCACGCTGCTACCTGCTCTGCTCCAGACCCCAGCGTCCCACAGGACCTCCCTGTTCCGCTTCCCTCCACAAACCCTTCTCTGCTTTCCTCACCTCTCCAGCAGCCAGGATGTTGTCATGTTTCTAGAAAAAGCAAGAGCAAAACAAAGCCCTCCTCCTGTCAGAGGCATTGATAAACAGCAAGTTGTGGAGAGTCCAAACGTTTTAATTCATTAGTCCTGGCAAACCCAAAATACAAACAGACTTGCTTCACAAGACAGGAATGTCTTCGGCGTGACCCAATCGGTGTCTGTGTCTATTCCAGCAAACTGGCAAAGACAGCATGACACTAGTCAGCAAAAATGTCAGCCGCTCCAATAAGCCCATCCATACCCAGCCAACTTGGACAGGCTACAAGCCAACTCTCAGATGACAGCAGCGATGATCCCTGTTAAGAACGTGAGGTTTGAGGTTGAGCCCGTGTTGGGCTTGATGACTTGATCCAGTCTACAAATGCAGTCAACCACGAAATCAGTCAATGGTAAACAGGACTGGAGAATCTGAATTTTTCAACCTTTTTAACAATTGCAAACTTGGATGTCAAGAGTATTAGAAAAAGTTTGACCATACTGTTGAGGTTAAATCATTAAAAAATGAACAATGATATGAGAATGCAAAGACAAGCTACAGACTGGAAGAAAAATCTTTGCAAACCATCAGCTAAAGAATTGATATCTAAAATATACATATAAATCATAAAATTCAACAATAGGCAAACAACTCAATCAAAAATGGGCAAATGAAAGATTAAAACTAGATCCCTATCTTTCACCATGCACTAAACTAAAATCCAAGGGGATTAAATATCTAAATATGAAAACTTACTAAACTTTCTGGAAAGTACAGGTAGAACTCTCAAAGACATTGGCATAGGAGAAGACTTTATGAACAAATCCTCAGCAGCATGAGAACTTGCACAAAGAATCAACAACTGGGATCTCATTGTATTAAAAAGCTTTGGCACTGCAAGAGAAACCACCAACAGAGATAAGAGACAACCTACAATGTGGGAAAAAAATTTTACCAGCTACTCCTCAGACAAAGGACTACTATCTAGAGTATATAAAGATCTTTAAAAACTCAGGCCTCCCAAATACAAAGACCTGATTCAAAAATGGACATCTGAAATGAACAGACATTTCTCAGACAAACAAGTAAAAGCAGCAAATAAATATATGAAAAAATATTCAACATCACTGGTCATTTGAGAGATGCAGATGAAAACAACACTGAGATCCTACCTTACCCCAGAAAGAATGGCTGCTATCAAGAAATCAACCAATAACAAATGTTGGTGGGGCTGTGGGGAGAAAGGAACCCTTCTCCATTGTTGGTGGGAGTGCAGACCACTGTGGAAATCAATATGGAGATACCTCAAAGAACTAGGATTAATAGGTCCCAGTTGACTCAGCTATCCCTCTGCAGGATATCCTCCCAAAAGAATTAGAAGAATCATACCACAGTGATATATGTGCACCCATGTTTATAGAGGCACAGTCTGTAACAGCTAAAATTTGGAAATAGCCCAAATGCCCATCAACTGGAGAATGGATAAAGAAGATGTGGTTTTTCTATAAAATGGAACACTACTCAGCCATAAAGAATGCGGAACTAGAGACATTTATAGCTAAATGGATGCACATCGAGGCTATACGCTGAAGTGAAATAAATAGGACACACTTGAGTAAATTCCAAATAGTTTCTCTGGTGTCAAAAACAAAAAGTGTAACTAAGATTCAAATGGTTTAATCGATAGTGTGAAATGGGAAGGAAAGGGCTAAAGGGGAAGTGGGTGGGGAGGGGAAAGGAAAGAAGGGAAAAGAAAAAATGTGAGAAAAGGAAAAACTAGAAACAAAGTCTTTGTATCTAGGAAGGGTGAAGGAGGTGAAGGGAGGGCAAGGGGATGGGGAAAAAGTAAGAACCAATATATCTCATGTGAAGGCACAAGATCCCAGTGATGAATGGAACTGTAGTGCTTGCTTTAAATGTACCGATAAACTTAATGGGGAAAAAATGGGCAAATGATACAGTCACCTCATTAAAGAAAACATATGACTAGCAAGCCTATGAAAACATGACCAATTTCATATGTAATTAGAGAATTATAAATTAAAACAAAATGGCGCATCGCTACACACCTACTATGGTCAAAATTCAAAATGCTCACACCAAATGTTGGTGGGAATAACAGAAAAGCAAGAATCTCCTAGTGGTAATGAAAAATGTTACAGCCCCTTTAGAAGAAAATTTGACAGATTTACAAATCTAAACATACACTTACCATACGATGCAGCAATCGCACTCCATGATATTTATGCAAATGAACTAAAAACCTTGTGTCTACATGCACACCTGCCCACAGGTGTTTATAACAGCTTTATTTGTAATTGCCAAAAGTTGGAAGCAACCAAGATGTCCTCCAATAGGTGAATACATATACAAATGGTAGTACATTAGGATACTATCGGTACTATAGTACATGAGATACTATTCAGGGATGGAAAAAAAATGCACAATCAAGCCACAAAAAGACATGGAAGATGCTCAGTGGATATTACCAAGAAACAGAAGCTAGTCTGTAAGGGTGTACACTGTCTGATTCCAACTATGTAACATTCTGGGAAAAGTAAAATTATGGAGAGCATAGAAAGATCAGTGGCTGCCAAGGGTTCAGGAAGACAGAAAGAAGAGATGAATAAGTAGTTTAGAGGGTTTCTAGGGCAGTGAAAATATTCTGTAGGACACTGCAATGGAGATACACATCGCTACAGGTATGTAAAAACCTGTAGACTTTTTAACACAAAGAGTGAACCCTACCCT